GGCCAAGATAATTCCTCCATTTTCGCAGAAAACACACTCACACAGTCCCATTACCCAATTGTCCCAGTCACATATCTTTAAGAAATTGCAAACAAATTAGACATTCAAAGTTCTATAAATAATTCTATAAGTATTAGCAACAAGCAACAAAAAAAAAACTTGGAAAAATCTTTAAAGATACCCACCTTCATATCTTAAGTATATAACCATTGACAAAGTTACTGAGTGAGTGAGCGTGAGAGTGGTCGGCATGTATACAGTATTTGAGGGTACATTGAGGGCATGATTATATATATGACAGTGCATTTACTAAGTGAAAATAATTGAGCTTGGAGTGAGAGGGAAGAGAGAATACAATAGCAAGTCGCGATCTAACCCCCGGTTATCTTCCTTTGCACACCAAGTGTTTACATTATGTAGACAGATGATATATGATGAAGTATACTACTTTTACGCTTTGAAATTTGAGATTTGTGAAGAGAAACAAGCAAACACATACTATTATTGTAGACGAAACGCGCGTCTGGCGTACATTTTTTTATACTGGTATCTATTTATGGTGAGTTTATAATTTATTGTTATACAAATCATACAGATTTGCGAAACAATTATAATTAACAACAAGCTACAGGCTACACACCGTACTGGACAAAATATCAACTTTTAAGGGTTTGTCTAGACACACTGAATGGTTATCATTAACCTTTATTGAAACGATATATCTTTTTGTGTATACAATTTAATATGAATACTAATATAATTGTCATCATTTTGACTATCATATGTGCTTATTTCAGGACTGTCGGCTACAGGCTTTACCACCTTAAGAGATACGTTTGCTTCAAAGTTAAGTTACAGTAAATGAACGCCGCATAGGCTAGCGGACGCCGGAAAATATTGATCACGATTTACAATGTGGCGGCCATGGGAATACACAGTTGCAATAATAAATTTTCAAAGACAACGAACGACAAAACGTGTGAAAACTGTCAGATATGTTAATAAATAGTTTGTAGAAGATATTTAAAGATGATGAAAGTGTGGAATCGAACAGGCGAAGAGGATGTATAGTTTCGGTGATAGAACTTGGCTTTTTCGCCGATCAGTTAAAAGAAAGTATGTTTTTAAAGGTAGCCCTGTTAGTTTTTCTCTTAACTGTGAATAAGACAAACCATGTAGTCTTGGTAGCATTGTTATATCCATTGTAAAAACTATCCTTATCAAACATTTGTTTCCACCGAAAAATAACATACACATAAGCTTGATACTAACTTATTGAAGGGGATACAATATCAAATATAAGCGCTAGATTTATAAGAGTAAATAAATGATACTTTAAAAACTTATTTCTACATTTTTGTAATAGTGTTTTCTATCACTTTTGCAGTTTTTGTGGAATTTTTTGTGACTTAGAATAGACAATTTCTTCAATAGATACATATGTATATTGTTAAATAATTCAGTCTTTAGTTTTCTATGCTGTGTTTTGAGGATTTTGTTTTGCCGTCGGTTTCACCATGGCGTTGTCAGTTTGTCTTCGACTTATGAGTGTTGAATGTTCCTTTGGTATCTCCCGAATATTTTTTCGATATGGTTAATTAAAAACAATTTCCATATCAAAAGAATGCGACCCGTCAATAAGATTAGGTGTTTGATCGATTTGCAGAATAAAATATTATCAACAGAAGCATATATAAGAACAGATGCGGCATCTAAGGGTCGGACCACTTTTGTTAGGACTGCCTTTGTAAAATAACAGTATAAATGTACGGAGTGTCTATTCGTCCGGCTATCCGGACGAATAGTTAAAAATCTCTATACGTCCGTCCATCCGTCTGCGGATGCGCAAATCTTCAATATCAATAAAAGTGTCATGTGACGCGGAAAGTGTCCCGGATGAGGTATCGGATAACAAACACGCGTGTGCAATGGACGTTTTGAGAATCGGAGATCGTGATTTATATTTAACGATGTCATAAAGAAAACAAGAGAAAATGTGATTAATTTATACAAATTTCTATAGGAGTGATTCCAGAACAATAGCGTATACATGTTAACTGTGAGGAATAAGCCTGAAATCAAAGTGAAATTGATGATTTACCCCCATTTACCTTATGGAGGCAAAACGCATTCAGAAAAATACTATATCAAACTTGCTTGGATGCATTATTTTTAAGTTATACTACAACGGAGATCTATGAAAATGCACTGATATGCCTGGACTGGGAATATGACACCAGGGTTGGGGTATCCCCCATTTTTTTCTGTTGTATCTAATATTCATTTTTTTTAAATTCTATCGAAAACCCAATCCTACTTTTGGGGACATGTTACACGTGCCTACCCTTTTCTCTAATTTCCTATGAATTAAAAATCGCCGAACAATTTAAATGAAGAATCGTGCATAATCATTTCAGGACCTTAATTTCATCAAACTACACAGAAACAATAAATTCAGGATCTTTTGGAATCATAGATGTCTAATGAAGCTAATAATCATTGGCCCGACTATTTACCTTACAGGAAATTCATAGGCAGAACAACAAAAGAGAGAATCATTTTTGCCCCCCCCCCCCACCCACCCCCCTCCCCAAATTCCTTTAGAATAAAAAAATCTGAATCAAAGGTATAGTTAATTTTTTTATTTGAATGAGTTTTTTTTCATAAAACGATGTTGGACAATATATTTTAAAACTACTCATGCATTATCTATCTCCTTCAAAACACGATGTTATATCTTCAGCATTATATTTTGGCCGGACAAATAGCGAAAAACCGTAAAAATGCTATTTGTCCGGCTTGCCGGATGAATAGACATTTTTGACTATTGGTCCGGCTAGCCGGACGAATAGCCACTGCCATAAATGTAAATACATAAAAAGCAAACAACACGAGAAAAAACAAAATGAAAAAAAAACAAATAAAAAGACGACATCAGCAAACGAATATCCTGGTTGCAACATAAATTCAGTAACTATCTACTTATTTGCATACTTTTCGTTCTTATAAATCCAAAGACTGAGGAGGATATTAGCAAGATAAGCTAAACATATAGATTCATACTAGAATGTTTATTTTCCAGATTTATTTGTTTATGCAGGTATACCTTGCAAAAAATTTATAGAACAAGAATGTGACCATAGTACACGGATGCCCCACTCGCACTATCATTTTTCTATGTTCAGTGGACCGTGAAATTGGCATCAAAACTCTAGTTTGGCATTATTAAATTAATTAAAATCATATCATAGGGAACATGTGTAATAAGTTTCAAGTTGATTGGACTTCAACTTCATCAAAAGCTATATTGACCAAAAACTTTAACCTGAAGCGGGACAGAAGGACGGACGAACGGACGCACAGACCGAAAAACATAATGTCCCTCTACTATTGTAGGCGGGGCATAAAAAGAAAGAGAGAAAATCAAATGAAACAAAAGAAAATGAAAAAATGAAAACAACACGTTACCATGCGTCCAAATCCCTTTTCTGGATTTACCTTCATCAGGAACGTTCGAAGCCGAATATTTGAAAGCCGAGGATGTATAAGAACCTGAACAATTGAAGAGCTATATAACCAAAAGGACCTAAAAATATAGCCAAATCCATCCAAGGTCAACTTTGCCTGAGAGAGTTTAAATCTTAGTTTCTTTCCAATGGTATAGATTGAAGCATTCAATTGTTTTAAATATTTTTTGAATTTAAAATAAAGGATATAAAGGGAGAACAGAAATCGCTAAAAAAATCACAGTTTATAACAGACTTTTTAGTATTATGGAAAATGATCAGTCAAAATGTGTTTTATAAGGATCACCAGTCCTTCACATTTCATTTGATACCTAAATTACCGAAATATATTCTATATAGTATGATATTTACAACTATGCGTAGGAACCAGTTTGTTTTAAATATGTACTACTGTCCAGTATGTTCTTTTTGACCGGGCCCGATTTGGTGGTATCACATCTTACAAAGTCCATCCTAGTTATTTTTGCAAAGAACTCCGCTCAAGCCGGTGCTATAGCGTCCGTCTTAAACTTAAAGTGAGGTGAGAGTATTTTTTGCTCCGTGTTAATGAAGGCGTCATTATGACTTTGAGATGAAGAACAGCAATAACAGCGCCGTTCCTTTGCTTTTTGTGTGTTTTTAATGTGCATGTACTGATTTTGTGTCATGGATGGATACCCCATATCCTATGTTTTTCTGCCTCACCTACGATAGTAGAGGGGCATTATGTTTTTCAGTCTGTTCGTCCGTTCGTTCGTTCATCCGTCCGTCCGTCCGTTCGTCCCGCTTCAAGTTAAAGTTTTTGGTCAAGGTATTTTTGATGAAGTTGAAGTCCAATCAACTTGAAACTTAGTACACATGTTCCATATGATATGATCTTTCTAATTTTAATGCCAAATTAGAGTGTTGACCCCAATTTCACGGTCCACTGAACATACTGGGGCATCCGTGTACTATGGACACATTCTTGTTCTATAATATCATCCCCAACACAAGACTCCCCATGCAGGTACAAGTCAAACAACAACTAACATCAAACACGGTTAAATAACCTTGCTACTACAGGAAGCTCGAGATGTTAGTTTGATACTTAGGTTTGGGGATAAAAAAAAGCCACCCTAACAGGTTTCCTGAAGACCTGTAATAAATGATTGGCAGTATGTAAGCTACAGGCCAGTAAGTATTTTGAGTCGCTAGATTGTCGAAAGAAAGATATTTTGTACTGAATTAGTGAGTCGGTAGCCCATTGCTTTTGAAATAATTAATTGTAAATTCTCTTTTGAACTGTTTATCAATAATAATTTTCCACCAATGCACCAGCTATGCTTTATATCAATAAATAATAAAAATATAATTCTTTTTCAAAACGGGTTTTCTAAAATATATTGATTTAACCTTTTCTACCTGAGTAAATCTTGAAGTCATTATTTTATTTTTAAATATCTAAACATCACCTTTTATTTGTGAAGAAATTATTTTTTATCCGGTTTGAGTTGTCTTCCTGCTTTGCGACCATCTCCCCTACTTCCCTATTGTAAACGATACTGGTGCGTGATGAGGCTGTATCTTATGACGATACTTGGTCAATATGCAGGTAAGCCTCAATGTTGAGATTAGTCTAATGATCACAAAACAAATGTATGCAAATATATACTCCTTATAGATACCACCTTAAGTTAACTTGCCACTGAATGAGTTGGTAACATGATGAGAGTTGGAATTAATTATTGTTGTACACCCAGTAGCAAATATTTGAAGCTTGTATCAGACTGCTTACTTAAATACTGAGTTTATATAACACATGTATTATGTGATACAGGAAGTTCTTTATATAAAGAAAAGATAATTCATCTACAAAAATATATTAGTATAAATTGTGCGGTTACGCTTGGAATGGAATCTGTATCAGTACACACAGAAATGGGAATTTGATATGTATCTTCTCCACAAGGCTAAAGTAAAATCCAAATGTTTTTTGTTTGATTATTATCTATATGTGTTTTGTAAGTTTTTTCAAAACGTCTACAGAAGAAAATCATCCAACACTATAACATCTTTCAAATACTCGAAGTAAATTTTTTTTTTAAATGTAATAAGATTTTGGCCCACCCCTCATCTGGTCGAAATAAACCATCATCAAAAGTCTTAAGTTTTGCGGCTACGGCTAGAGAACGAATGTCACTACCGCCAGTTTCGAACCTGTACCTCTTTGAGCATACCAAATTTACAAAAATAAGGTTTACAAACAATGTATTTATCATGTTGCTGTGTTCCATTCTACGGAAGTTTAGCTCTATTCAATGGAGTAATAATTCGTCTGTTTGTTGCTGTTTACTTTCTTGTTTTTTGTTTTGTTTTTAGTAAAAATAAGAAGATATGATATGATTGCCAATGAGACAACTGTCTAACAGAAGTCAAATGACGAAGATATAAGCAGATATAAGCAACTATCGGCCTTTAACAATGAGTAAAACCGTAAGATATAAAATGCCCCGACATTACAAAAAGGTAAAACAATTTAAACGAGAAAACCAACGACATTTTTTATGTACAAAACATAGCTATGCGTTCAATACTCATCTTTACAGTAAAAAACAATTTAATAGCAAAATCAGTACACTGATTTTTAATCAATGCCTGAAATATACTAAGAACTGCGAAAATAACTCAATAGGTATCCCTGTACAGTTATAAACACTAAAGGTCCTACATCATGTCAATACTTATCTTTTGGTATTGCACAAGGGAATGTACTTTTCTGACTATTAATGACGTCTTCACAATAAATCCATTTGATGTTGGATTTGCATTGATTGATATTCAAGTCTAAGGTACATGATTTTTATAAGCCCGTTTATGATATACCTTTGTCCGTCCGTCTGCCCGTCCGTCGTCAACATGTCGGACAATAACTCAAAAATGCTTTAACCAATTTTTATGAAACTTTGGTGAATTGTTTATTTCTATCAAAATAAGCTCCCTTTAGTGTCTTTTAAAATTTCTGATATGACGTTGAGGAGTTATGGAACTTTACTCGTTGAAAAGGCGACTGGCGTATCATGCACTCATGGCGCAGCTCATTATTATTTTATTAGTTGTTATTGGCTTTATTATCTTTCAATACATGCGAATACTCTCAGATCTGTACTTTGTGTCTTAAGTGTTTTTGTTACCGGTAATTGTGTTGTGCTTTGTTCCGATTTGACGAGACAAGCCATTTTCAACTGATGTTTATAGTTTGTTCTTTTTTTGTGCTGAACATAACGACACATTCCAAGGTTAGGGGGAAGATTGGGGGCCCGCAAGGTTTAACCCTACCACATTATGTATGGGCTTGTCCAAAACCAGGAGTCTGAAAATCAGTGGTTGTCGTTTGTTGTTGTATATCATATTTGTAATTCGTTTATTATTTTGTACATAAATCAGGCCGTTAGTTTTCTCATTTGAATTGTTTTACATTGAAAATTTTGTCATTTCGGGTTCTTTTATAGCTTTTATATCTTTACTAGTATTGGTTTTGCTCATTTTAAAAGGACGTACAGTGACCTATAGTTGCTAACTTCTACGTTATTTGGTCTCAGGTGGAGAGTTTTCCAAAATCCTTGTATACAAATTCTTGGTAATATAATCGTTCAATATTGTTATAAAGACCAGAAGAGCCAATCAAGTTAGTAAGTAAGATATGCGTAGCGCTCCAGGTCCTCCAACATTTTACAGAAACAAAATTCTATCTGCACTGCCGGTCACACTGTGTTTGTTGTCTCCCTTTTCATATCTTTGTATTGTTAGTTTATTATTGTTCCCCGATAACAAAAATGATAATTTGAACTTTGGTGGATAGTTATCTCATTGTCAATCATACCATATCTCCTTATTTTTATAATAATCATTTGAACACTGTAGTTATACTTGTAACCACTCTGCTCCTTTAGGGCATCATAATATTGTTTTGTATTGTACTGAGCTCCCCTCCCTGAAACAAGGACAAAAAACAAATAAAAACAATACAAACAAAACACGAATGGTCGGTGCCTTATCAAAAAAAAAAAAGAAAATTGAAATTTGGTAAATGTTGCATTAGTGTGTAACTGAAAGATTAATTTATGCATTGCCATTTCTTTACGTTCAATGTTAAAAAAAAATGAAAACAACACTTAATATATTTCCTGTGTCCGAACCACTTTTAGTAAGGATTTAGTTTAAACAGTAGTTATTATTGAAAATTATAACATTGTCGATATAATAGTATAATATATATAGTAGTCAAATATGGAATTCGGAAACAAGTTTGAACCACTTTTTAAAAATCCGTCTCCCGAGTTACCTTCATTAGAAACGCTCAAAGCCGATTATTTGAAAGCCAAGGATGCCGGTACAAAAACCGAAACAGCTGAAGAGCTATATACCCACGTCCTTTCTGTTCTATTATTTGAGTTTTAAAATAATAGCCAAATCCATTTAAGGTCAATTTTGACAATAAACATTGACACATAGAGGACAATACACAATCATTACAAATCAAAATCAACGAGTTTATCTGATAAACACTGTATTATACTTCATGTCAAAATGCCAGATTTTGATTGGTTAATACGAAGGAGACAATTTACTCTATCCTATGATAAATACTCTATTACCCTTCACGGAGACGCTTGATGCCACAGCTGTCTTATGTGGAACTCTGATATTACTTTATGTTGTTTTATTATTACTTGATGATATTTTGTCTTTACTTGATATGGTTTTGACATTACATAATGATGTTTTGATATAACTCAATATGGAATAGTCATTACTTAATGATATTTCGATATTACACGATATGGTTTCGTATTGACTTGATATAGTTTTGTCATTACTCAATATGGTTTTGTCATTACTCGATGTGGTTTCACCATTATTTAATGTGGTTGTGTCATTAGTCAATGTGATTTTAACATTACTTGATGTGAATGTGACTTAACGTTATGTATTTGTTAGTTGTTTCATTACATAATGTGGCTTTGTTATTTCGTAATGATGATTTGCCTATTCTTTATATAGTTTTAACATTACGCAATGATGTTTCAAAATTTGACGATTTTACACTACATGATGTGTTTGTTTCATTATTTGATGTGGTCCTGTCATTCTTTGGTGTGGTTATTCCATTACTTGATGAGGTAAAACCACGTGACCAATTCGGAAAAAAATATGTTCTATTTTTAAACAGATTTCAATATATCGTTTGTTTAATGTGCTGTATCGCTATCCATTGAGTTAAAGTTCATATTAAAGTTCGAGTGGTTGTTCAGAGTAATTTGGTATTAAAAGGGGGAACGGCAGACAATAATAAGAAAAAAAGTATTAAAAAGTTTACAGTATTTCGGACATAATTGGGATATCCCCAAACCACTTGGTCCTGTTGTTTTTATCCTAATAAATTTGTAAAATATTCCACGGAACCATGTGTCTCGCCTGATATTGCTGCTGTAAGTGTAAAAGCTTCATGTTGATCGGCTGTACATTTATCTATACATTTATCGGTAAAAACAAAATTAAAAAAACAATTTTTTTCTGTAGATGCTTTTTCTTGAAATTGAGGAATAACTCCTATACAAGTTTTAAAACACTTCATGGAGGTTTACAAATTTATCATGTCAAAACAGTTTAATTCGGTTTTATTTAACTAAAACAAAACTGTATGGTTTTCAACAATGAGCAAAACCCATACCCTATAGTAAGCTATAAAAGGTCCCGAAATGAAAAATGTAACTAGAAACCTAACGATCTATAGATAGATACATATATACTTTATTCTCTAAAAACTAAATACAAGTTTACAGAGAAACATACAATATAAATACAGATACAATAGTCGAGGTAAACAAATACAGTATGATATTCTAAAAGTACAAATTTATGATGGCATACATGTTTAGTAACATGTATAATGAAAGGTTAAACTCAATAGAAATAAAAAAAAATGGAGATGGAGACGCCGACGCCACTATCGACGACGAAATATAGGTTTGTTGTGTCTCACTGCCGCTACATTGATGTAGCAGGCTCGACACAAATCAACAGACTTGAACTTTATTGTTAACAAATGAAACACTTCAAATCAACTCACACTAAAGTTACAGGGAAACGGGGGGATGGGGGCTCGGACTAAGCGACAAAGCATCAATACTATAAAATAGAATTCTCCGAATTTTTTTTTAGCGTAAATGATCATTTGAACTTATACGAATATCAATCTTTTATTTGTAATCAATTGAATTCCCTGATCTACCTCGCACTAATTGAAAAATAAACTTTTTGGAATATCTGTTTCACATGTGACGACAGACATGTTCCAGTGGTCGTAACCATAATACCGTCATCTTTTCCTTGAATGTAAACTACCAAATAAAACCAAATCACTGGGTTTGTACTTTCTCGAATAACACGACGGGTGCCTTTCTGGAGCATCCGAGATCACCCCGATGGATTTATATTACCCAGTCATACCGATCTATTGAATCAGCCAAATGAAACTGTTTTGTATGCCACCGCAACTGAAAGTTGGGGGCATATTGTTTTACCCCTGTCCGTCCGTCCGTCCGTCCGTCCGTCCGTCCGTCCGTCCGTCCGTCCGTCCGTCCGTCTGTCCGTCCCATTATGGGTATATAGTTATTCCGCATAACTCCTCCTACAGTTTGAATCCTAGGAAGTTTTCTCTTTACTGTCTTTTTGTACATATATTGAAGGTGTGCATGTGGTCAGGGTTTAATGTTTACTAATATTTGCTTTTTTGGGAGATAGTTGAACTTTGTAATTTTTTGGGAGATAGTTGAACTTTGTAATTTTTTGGGAAATTTACTTGCATAAGAAGAGCGTTTCCAGATAACTCCTCCTACAGTTTGAATGCTAGGAAGTTTTCACTCTGCTGGCTGTTTGTACATATATTGAAGGTGCGCATGTGGTCAGGGTTTTAATTTTTTATCATCTTTTGCTCTTTATGGGAGATAATTGAACTTTTTGTCATTTTTGGGGTATAAGCGGTTGAATGAGTTGAGTGCAGGGGCATCACGTTGTCTAGTTTACATTTTTTTCTCGTGTTGTGCTGTTACACAACTGTAACAGTCCGATGTAAGGTTAAGATTTAGCGCTCACATACATGTTAAACTCCGCCACGTGCACTTTCTTTATGTACCTGCCCCAATTCAGGAGCATGAAGTTCAATTGTTGTCGTTGTATAAATGTGTGTCATTTTTTTTTTGTAGATTCTTTATTTATGAATAAGACCGTTTGTGTTTTCGTTTGATTTTTTTCACATGGTGCATGGTGGCCTTTTGTAGCTGACTATACGGTGTGTTGAAGGCTGTACGGTTGCCTATATATGATTTCTTACATCCACTGCATTTAAACTCTGGTGGATAGTTGTCTCATTGTCAATCACACCACATCTAGCTTTATTTCAACTTCTATGTTGCGTTTTGTATACTGTAACATTGTTTATCTTTTGTACGCATACCCCGGCCGGAGCCCTCTTTTCGGAAGCCCGAGCAAAAGTCCTTGTTCCGCGATAGAAAATTTAATTACGAACTCATATAAGATAGCTCGAATTTCAACTCATAATCTTAATTAATCTAAATGAGACTTAAATTCGAATCTTACTCAAACTCTACCTCAAAAAGTGACTCAAAGTCATTGTTGTAACTAGAACTCTACCTTTAAATGTGACTCAAACTCGAAGTCCAACTCGAAACTCAATGGTAACTAAAACTTTAATTCTAATAATGACTTGAATTCGAAATCGTAGACTAACTCAAAGTTTAACTCAAACAGTAACCCAAACTCTAATTCGATGGATGGCCACACTCATCCAAGGCACATACAACATGGAAATCTATCTAAAAATAGAACAGGGTTTTCCGAATTGGTCACGTGATTTTACCTCATCAAGTAATGGGATAACCACACCAAAGAATGACAGGACCACATCAAATAATGAAACAAACACATCATGTAGTGTAAAAACTTCAAATTTTGAAACATCATTACGTATGGTAAAAACCATATAAAGAATAGGCAAATCATCATTACAAAATAACAAAACCACATCATGTAATGAAACAACTACATAACGTTAAGTCACATTCACATCAAGTAATGTTAAAACCACATTGACTAATGACACAACCACATTAAATAATGGCGAAACCACATCGAGTAATGACAAAACCATATTGAGTAATGACAAAACTATATCAAGTCAATACGAAACCATATCGTGTAATATTGAAATATCATTAAGTAATGACTATTCCATATTGAGTTATATCAAAACATCATAACGTAATGTCAAAACCATATTAAGTAAAGACAAAATATCATCAAGTAATAATAAAACAACATAAAGTAGTATCAAAGTTCCACATAAGACAGCTGTGGCGTTCCATAAAAAGACGTCGTAGTTTATTACTTTGAATTTGAAATTTAAGGTAGATTCACTGTATACCGCCATCTTGGATTGTACAATAGCAGTACACAATCGGTCTAGTTTTTTGCCTAAATCTGCAAATTTTGAGACAGATTTGCAATTTATGTGTAAGACTGTTTATTTGTATAAAGAAAAATAAGTGATTTATTGCTTTATCTAAAATGTTTGAATAAATACCAATATTTGTGTTTATTAGAATCAATTTTTTTATTTGGCCGTTTAAGGGGAGATAACTCTTATAGTAAAATTTTTATACTGGAATGATAATGAAATTTTCATTTTTTTACTTGTAGCAAGAAAACAAGTTCAGTGACACCATTTTTTCTTTTTATTTTCTTAAAGCACATTATAAAACCTATTTTCTCATAATTTATTTCAAAAATCTATCTCAAATGTGTTTTTTTATGAACAATCTATGCAAATTTGGGCACTTTTTCACGACTTGTAGCTTGAAAAATAGCACGGTGACCCATACTTTTTATTATTTTTTTTAAAAATCATAGTAAAATCTTCGTTTGGCAAAGTATAAGAAAATTCTATCTGAGGAAATATATACCGATAATCCACCTTAATAGACAGTAATAACAGAACATTCAGTATAATAAATCAAATAACACATATCTGAGAGGGTGATAGAGCAGATTGTTACCCATCGAAAAGACATTGTCAACCTTGACTTCGCCTCAGTTGAAAATGTTTTCTCGGGGTAAAATGTGCTCTATCACCCTCTCAGCTATGTGTTATTTATATAATATTGCACGGTAAATTTATATAATAGTATGTTAAATCAATATTGCTATAATTTCAATCTATTCCTCTTCACTCGTAACTCTTTCAGAATCAGCTCGCTTAAAATATTCACTCATGTTGTTATAATTTTGTTCTTTTCATTGAAGTTGGCAATGGACAAACTTTGACAGTCGTAATTTTGATCTGACCCGATTCAATCTCATTTCTTTAAATTAACCGTACCTTGTAAAGTTCCATTAATTTCTGCTAAATTTATGATTAAAAGTTACTGTAGAATTTTTCTAACCATCAGAGTATTTGAGGTATAACATAAAATTTGTGAAGGGCTGCTGTTGTAAAATCATGTGTAAGTTTTTCGTGTTTCATGTTTTCTTCATTAACTTTCTGCTGGTATACTTATATTGATAGCACATTGTTTGATAAAACTGTTCGTGACTATGATGCGTGATAGTTATGTTAGTTCCAAATCCGGAAGATCGTCATTTGAATAGTTGTTTTTGTTTGTATTGCATGTTACAATAACGCATTTGTTTTTTTTTCTTCTGTAAAACTTGTGTAAACGGCGGATCTTTAATAATTCTTATGCTCTTTAAAATATAATCACAACTTGTCCAGATTCCGGAACAATTTAGAGCTAGGAGTATGTTATACACATGTCTGATGTCCTGTCACAAAGCTGACCTTAGATGGATTTGGCCATTATTTTTATGTCCTTTTTGGTCATAAAGCTCTTCGACTGTTTCGGTTCTTTACATCATTGGATTAAATGAACGGCTTTGAGCGTTCCTGATGAAGGTAAATCCAGAAAACCATTTTGGTCATAAAGCTCTTCAACAGTTTCGATGCTTTACAACCTTTGCTTTCAAATGTTTGGCTCTGAGCTTTCCTAATGAAGGTAAATCCAGGAAAGCGCTTCGCACGCATGCAATTGTGTTGTTTTCATTTGTTTTTGTCTTGTTATTGTGTGTTTGGTTTTTGTGTCATCTGCATTTATTCAGATAGAGACACTTGTTCATTGCTGATGACTGCACGTTGACCTCTAGATGACATTCCATTTTATTACGCGTTTGTTTGGGTTTTCGTTTTGTCTATTCGAACCATCTGTTTACGCAGAAAAAAAAGGTTATTTTGACTTTTCCCTCTCGGCGGTGAGGATGAGAGGCGTCAGCTTTGCAGGGCTTGATGAACAATTAATGAGCAGTTTTTGGATCACACGACAAATGTTTCGGAAATGTTGCACGTGCTGGGTGTTGGAAGAGCTCACTGAATAAACGGATCCTTTATCCTGTAAATCTCCACATTCGTGTTTGTGAAACTGCTAAGATTGAACACTTATTTCTTTGTTCATATGAAATATTGATTTAGCATTTAATCTATCAGATACCTTTAGGATAAAACGATTGGAAAGTCAGATTCTATTCAGAATTAACAAATGCATGAAAAATGGGACCATTGGCGAACAATTGCGGTAAAAAAAACCTTTTCGATTAAATCATAGCAGATAAAAAATATTGGCGTATGATGAACGGGTAATAACCAACGAAACTAAAGGCATATATATAAGCTTAATTACGAACAGTGGGTAACATTAAAATTATCCCCCTGATTAATTTGCTGAATTTTCATACAATTTAACTATAATGTATTACTCTTGATCTGAACCACGGTTAGCAAATTTAAACAAAGTCGTTTTAAATACAGAAAGTAGATGACTGAAATCTAACATTAATTGCGTTGTTTTGCAAACAGGATTTTGAAAGGGGGCACCAGCAAGGCAACGTTCGGAAAGGAACTTGTTTATACATTCATCATACATGTAGCTCCATTAAGAAGGGGTGGTTGCCCCCTAAATCCTCCTCTGTTTGTTTTGTTTATTTGTATTTAAAGACTTGAAGGCATGATTTTCTTTGTGTATTACTAGTAATAAAACTAACGTCTATCAATCTTTAGGAATATTGACAAACGCCTTAACAACAAGAATGGATACTTCTACTGAAACACCAATGGCAACTTTTACGACTACTGCATCTACAGATCCATCAACGGCGTCAGCAATTACCACGTCTCCACACTCGACATTTAGCACTACGGATGCTACTTCTTATACGACCACTACATCTACCGATCTATCAACGGCTGCAACAATTACAACGTCTTCACACTCGACATTTAGCACCACGGATGCTACAACTTATACGCCTACTACATCTTCTGATTCATCAACGGCGTCAGCAATTACAACGACTCCGCATTCGACATTTAGCACATCGGAAGCTACAACTTATACGACCACTTCATCTACAGATCCATTAACGGCGTCAGCAATTACAATGTCTCCACACTCGACATTTAGCACCACGGATGCTACAACTTTTACGATCACTACATCTACTGATCCATCAACAGCGTCAGCATTTTCAATGACTCCGCATTCGACATTTAGCACCACGGAAACTACTAAAACATCGAGAGAGTCATCAACAATGTTAGCTGATAGTAAAACAACTGAAATAATATCAACAGCAATGGAGACAAGAACGATGAAAATATCTAGTTCGACACCAGAAAGCACAATGTTAACAGAAACAACAATGGAACCGAATAAAACGGGCAGTCCCACTGTAACAGAAAAAACGAACACATCGAATGACGGTAATATAGTACTAGTGTCCCTTTAATAAATTTAGAAATATAGATATGATTTGTAATGTGGAGGAACAGTTAAGGCGAAGTATCCGCAATTGGACGGTATTTCAGATGTTTTTTTTTTATATTTGAATCAATTTAGATTTCGCTAAATTGCATCGAAATGATAAAAAAAAAGATAAATGCATATAATTTTTGTTTATAATCAGATGCAGTACCGGTAACGAGTTCTAAATGTAAACAAGATATAAATTTTAAATCTGAAAAAAAACAACACAATATTATAACGTATATTTTGCTTCAACCAACAAATTGTTGAAATGAACGTGAAGTACCTATTACAATGTAGCCGACACGTACTCGAGGAAAGTTTTGAACGAGAAAATAAGAATCTTTAAAGAGCTACCAAACACATATGGGTCTACACAAAACGGACAAAATTCAGCAAGACAGATATTTCCTGGAAGAGTTGCATTCTTATTCAAAATGAATTTCATTTAACCATAGACAAACAATACAATTACTACATTAAAGGACCATTGTATCATTATGTCTTTGATATAATTTATAATTTGAACATATGCTGTAAGAATTTATCATTTATAATCATGTAATGACAAAAACGCTCGTCAGCTAATGCATACGGTGCACTTTAAAGTCACGAGCATTTCAGTTCCCCAGCAGCTGTACAGACTTCACATTTAAAAGAAAATATAATTCAAAAGGAGATACATGCCTGTCCGATTGCTCAGAAAGGTCTATACAGCAAACCCCAAGTCGGTAACCTAAACACATTGTCATCAAGAACAGAGAAAAATAAATAATCAATAACATGTTTTATATTGAACATTTGTAGAGCATTTGTAGAACATTTGTAGAACACATATTCGAAGAATTGCAGTTTAAAATATTGGCTTCTAACACTTTAACCTTAATATGTTGTAAACACGCTGGATTTGTCATACCATATGCATTCGAAAGATTTGCCAAGACCCCATTATTTCTCAATATTTTCTTCAAATCTTAATTCTCAAATTTTGGTAAAAGCTCTAAAAATTCTTGTTATATCAAATTTTTTTAGTGCAGTCTAATATTCATTTCTTCTCATATTTTATATTTTTAATGAAAAAATCCAGAGACTTCGATTTTTTCACAAAGTTTTAAGATGTTTCGAAAACAAGCAAATAAGCCAGTACAGTTATTGCAACATAATTTATGTGTAATACATCATTTATTGTATATGGTAGGGTCTGAGTGATGAAGCAAAAATGTACCACTTGCCTAATAAGAAATGCTTTGTCTAACACAAATTTGGACATGCCTGTTTCGTAACCGCTCATCATAAATGACATAACTTCAAAGAATTACTTTCGATCGACCTAAATAATCTCGTCTCATATGGATATTCCCTTGATTAATGATAATACATAATACGTTTTATAAATTATACTTCATGATTTAGTTTACTTACAAACTATTTACCTGAGAAAAAAACAGTGCAGAGAAAAAAATCGATTCCAACTGAGATCATTTTTAGAACCAAGTTGATAGGCAAATATCTAATATTTTTTGTTGTACGTGTGTGTGTGTGTTGAATTAATTCTGGTTGATTATCAATTCATTACAGTGATAATAGCTGTGGTTGTTGCTGTGTTACTTATAGTGCTGCTGATTGCAACGATTGGTGGTTTTCTTCTATTTAGGTAAGCATTGCTTTGAATGGGAAGAGACCCATATATATAGATAAGAAGATATGGTATGAGTGCCAATGAGACAACTATCCATCCAAGTCACAATGTGTAAAAAGTAAACAATTATAGGTCAAAGTACGGCCTTCAACACGGAGCCTTGGCTCACACCGAACAGCAGGCTATAAAGGGCCCCCAAAAGACTAGTGTAAAACAATTCAAACAGGAAAACCAACGGTCTAATCTATATAAAACACGAGAAACGAGAAACACCTATGAACCACACCAACAAACGACAACCACTGAACAACAGGCTCCTGACTTAGGACAGGTGCATAAAAATGCAGCGGGTTTAAACGTTTTAACAGGCGCCAACCTTCATCCTAACCTGAAACAGTGGTATAACATTACAACATAAAAAGACACAAAATAAAATATCAATTGAAATGGCTTAACTCGATCAAAAAGACAATACACAAAAACAAGTGAATATACACTGAACGAATAAGTTTGATCTATGACACAATATAAATAAAAAAGATGTTTCAATGTCAAATAGACAACTTTAACCTAGGACAAAGTGGCGTTAAATAAAGTAACGTACACAGGTAAATTTAAATATAATAATTTTGTTGATTGGAGTACAGAAACATTTTTTTACAAAATAAATTTGTTATTCATAGTAGGAGTACAGAAGCGAATTTTTTTTTCGTCGTACTTAATACTTGGTGGTACATATTAAAATAGTAAGACGAGATATAACACAAAATAAGTACACATTGAATAACAGAAATGCATTACAAGTTGTGTCAACAGGTCAAATTAACACGAAAGTACGATTTGAGAGTACTCGCAATTACTGAAAACTAGTTAAAAGCCAAAAACAATTAATAATAAAAATCATGCATCAGAGACTAAAATGAATTAAAACACATCCCAGGCAGGGATTTAGTGTTTTAACGCCATGGACAGTGAAAGAAGACAGGACTTGTGCAATGCCAAAATAAAAGTAACGACAGACAGACAGTAGGATAGTTAGGATTTAACCTTATAATTAATATGTATGATGTTATGTATAGATAAAACAATTTCTAAATAGAAAATAAAACGTGGATGTGTATATATACATCCCAAAAAACCATTCGAAAAGAAATTTAGTTATGTTTTAATTTGTTGATGACAAAATCGATGTTAGTGCCAATGAAAACAATATTCAAAGATCTTATTACAACATTAATAAGATAACCTTTACTAATAAGTTTGTTTAAATGTTCGATAAGTTTACACGGATCACATAGTGATTTCCGCGCTATTAGTACAATATTACAGTAAAATTTAGGATGTGAAATACCATTTTTAATAAGATTTCTACAGGTACAGCCACATTTACTAATCAAATCTTTGTATCTATGAAAGAATTTAGTAAATGTTTTAAGTAACTTATGGTAACGAAATCCCTCACTTAATAATTTACTAGTGATACATTGATCACTTTCGTTAAAATCTATGACATCACTACACACACGGGCATAACGAACGAGCTGGGATATATAAACACCGTATGATGGAGCCAAAGGAACATCGCCGTCCAAAAAAGGAAAATTAACAATAGGGAATGAAAAATCGTCTCTTTTGTCGTAAATTTTTGTATGGAGTTTCCCTTTAGAAATTGAAATGTATAAATCTAGAAAAGTACAACTACTCTGTGCTGTTTATGTTAGATTTATTTAAAGTAAGTTCCGTTGGGTAAATTTCGGTAGTGTATTTAGAGATGTTTAGATTAGATATCAAACGCTAACCACGAAACAAACTATATGTATCGGTTATTTTTCTAGGTTATGATACTTTGTAATTCACGTTGTGTAGGCTGAATAATACTTTTCCCCATGACGGATCTAGGTTTTTGCGCTAGGAGGAACGTGAAAATAAGCCACTGCCAATGGTCCCTAGCAGGTCACTCGGAGGCTCACGACACTTCATTTTCTTTTCAGATCAGCTATTTTTCTTTTTTGTATCCATCTCTGTTGTAACCCATGCCAAGTTCAAAGTTCATCTACTAATGTGGATGTCTGCCTCTAAATACTACAATATCGGAATAATTTTCACACAGAGCAATTTTCTAAGACTCAATCTTTTATTTTGATATATAGTGTCAAAGATTTGAACTAGTAAAGTAACGTTTTGGTGTAATTTGGTGTAACAATTGATCAAATTATCAATGCCTAAAGATGACTCACAACTGCAATTTGCACAATTGTAACAAAATTTGAGTATTCATCCAAAAAATGTACAAGAGGAGCATTTTTATCCAAAACCAAAATTATATGGGAAGTAAAGCTATATATTGCTTTTCGAATTCAAAACAATTATCTTTGGTTAGAGATGTCATTCGGTGCAATATTGTACAAAAACGGATAACATTTGCAATATGCAGTTTAATATTCGAATACCAGTAGACAACCCGCACTTTGGCCCTGCCAACGAAACAAATTAAGGAGCCCTATCTCTTTGGGAATGAAGGTTACCATGGTATGATGTAGGGCGATTGTCCCCCATTTTGTTTCACTCACAGGGTAAAAAGCGGTAAGATGTCAAAGCTTACTGGAATAATTTGAATTTTAAAAAGATTAAATCCCCATATTTAAATAATTTTTTCAACAACTTTTCATATTTTCATAGAATAAAATTGATCCAGTTTATTCCAAAATTGAAAATTTGCACCAAAGGATATCTTTAACGAAAAGAAATAAATTTGTATTTGAATTTTTGTTTTAATTAACAATGTCTTTCTGAAACATTTTTTTATAAACTTGTAAAATTGTCAATTTGCAGTGAAAGGTTATCTTACAGCATTCATAACTTATTTATATGTTTAGGAGTATAGGAGGTTAGGAGAACAAATCGCAATCAGAGAAAAATTCGTACTTACAATACAAATATTTCGGACCTAATTCCTATTTCAAAAAACAACGGCAGAAATTATCTGTTAACCAAGCTCTGTTCTTTATCTCTTAATAAATTACATCAAATTTTGGAGGATTGCAACACAATTCCATATTGCAGTCCTAAGTATGAAATCATCCAAACTATAATTGCATATTGTTATTCTAAACTGTTTCCCAAAATTGATCGCCCTGAAGATCATAAAAAAAACATTTCATTAAAATCAAATATGTCAATAAAGGTTTTGATTTTGTAAATATTGCCGGTATTCTTAACGATCATTCCGTAAAAGAACAAATTCCTGGTTATTTTGAAAATACTGAGCTCCCTCTTATTTGTTATGTTACAAAAAATCGACCCGGAGATATGTGTTTAATTATAGCGAGGTGTGTAAAGATGTTTATATCAGAGACAATACACCTACGTCATGAAATTGCAGTAATTCAAAAAACATTTATGACCCCAGTTCCCATGTTATAACAGGAGACCTTAACATTGTCCAGGACCGAGAGTTGAAATCATTTCTTAGTAAAGGACGAAGATATCGTCCTCCGTCAGTTATCAATTGGAATTAGTGTCGTAACATCATCAACGACTCACTTACTTACTGTGTGAAATGAATAAAACGAGAAAAAGCTGACAAAAATTCCTTAGATTCTTTTTTTAATTCAGTAATGAATATAGTTGATATTCGTATTAAACATTTCAAAGAACATTTCACTCCTAACAACAACCATAATAGCCATATTTATCGTATCAAACATAAGCTAAAAGAACTCGCTAAGGAATTTGTTTTTGTCCCGGCTGATAAGGCCGCCAATAATATATCAGTATTGTTTGACGTAAATTTTATATTGAGGTTCTGCAAAAGGAAATCACGAATTCACCTACATTCCAACTGACTCAATTTTTAGAAAATGACATCTGTAACAAACAAACTTTTAGCTACCTCTTTACAAGCAGAACCGAATAAGATGAAAGTTCCAACTATGTGCTTCCGAAGCTGCACAAAACACCTTACAAATATAGATTTATTTCGTCTTCAAGCCATTGTTCCACAACTAAGCTGTCTATATTCTACTTACTAGTACACTTGGTACAATCAAAAACCTGGTAATAAACTGTTAAAATAATTCCTTTGAAAATATTGGAATTAATAACTTTTGGAGTGTCAAAAATTCGTTGGAAGTACTTGATAAATTGCATGCTCATATTGGTGATTTCGAATTTGTTCAAAGTTTTGATTTTCTACCCTACATACCACTTTGCCCCATATTCTCATTAAGAGAAAATTCACATACCCAATTAAATGGGCATTTCAAAAGTCAGAATGCGAGTATATATGTTCAAACTCTTTTAGATCATTTTTCAGTAACAACAAACAAAAGAACTATGTCAATTGGACCTGCTTTGATACGATAACTGCACTTGAATTTTTACTCGATAACATTTTGTTCGCTGTGGAGAGTCCGTATATCGTCAAGTTATCGGAATTCCAATGAAAGAACATCTGAAACAAAAATTTAATAATACTTTTAGAAATTTGGATGATATATTGGCTCTCAATAATGACGACTTCAGTATGTACACTAAAGAGATTTATCCTGCTGAACTGACTTTAAAAATAAAGCTAATACTAACAATGAACACTGCCCTTTCCTGGAAATTGATATCTACATTTTTAACGGAAAGCTTGGCACCATCCTATGGTGTTTATATATCTCAAATTGTTCGATTCGCTCATGTATGTAACAACGTATTTGATTTTAACGAAAGAAATCTCTGTATTACTGAAAAATTATTACACCAGGGTTTTCGATATCACAAACTTGTCAAAACATTTACTAAATTTTATCATCGGTACAAGGACACCATTCGTAAATATAAATCAAAGTGCAGACATCTTATAGTTCAGGTATTCACATCCCATCTTTTATGGTAATATTCTATACAAAGCACAAAATTTCGTCATTCACCTCAAAAGCTAACCAAAACGTTAAACAGACTTATCCAGAAGGCATATGCGTTACGATACTGTTGTCAGGTCATTAAAGATTGCTTTTTTTTGAATTAATATTGATTCACTCATAGGGTCTTTGCATCGGAAATAAACACATTTATTCTAAAACCAGTTGTTGGCATGATACGGGTTATGTTCTTCTCGTATATTTTATGATAGTATGATACTGAACCCCTAACGGGAGGGATTTATGCTTGATTTTCATATGATGAATACATAATCTTTCAATCAGTTTAATTGAGGTCTTGAGCTGGCATGTCAGTAACTGCTAGTAGTCCTTTGTTAATTTATGTTGATTATTGTCATTTTACTTAGTTTCTTCTGTTACCTATTCTAACATCGGATTCGGACTTCTTTTGCACTGAATTTTATTGCTGTGTGTTTGTTTATTCAACATTGGCTAGAGGTATAGGGGGAGGATTGAGATCTCACAAAACATGTTTAACCCCGCTGCATTTTTGCGCCTGTTCCAAGTCAGGAACATCTGGCCTTTGTTAGTCTTGTATGTTTTTTAAATTTGGTTCATTTATATGTTTCGGAGTTTAGTGTGACGTCCATGAGCAGAACTAGTATATATTATAGTTTAGGGGCCAGCTGAAGACCGCCTCCGGGTGCGGGATTTTCTCGGTGTGTTGAAGACCCATTGGTGGTCTTGGGCTGTTTTCTGCTCTTTGGTCGGGTTGTTGTCTTTTTGACGCATTCTCCGTTTCATTCCCAATCTTATTTGATATTGTAAAAATCCCGGAGTAAGCACGAAAGCTTATACACTGTAAATTTAAGTATTAGCAGATTGAAAGACTTTTCCAAATGAGAAATGATTTAAGATATTAGAAGAGTAAGAGTGGGTTTAGGTGTATAACTTTCATTTGTTTATTATAATAAATCTGCACTGTTAACAAAAAGGGTATTTCAATAATAATATATACATACATGTATATCAATTGGTGTTCAGTTAGGTTTTTATGAATATTCATCACAAACTGGGATTCATAACATTAAAGGAGTTAACACAATGTGCAGGAAGAGGGGTACAGTTAATACCCTAGGGAAAACCGATCACTTGGTGGTATACTTTTGCAGAAAAGTTATAACTGAGACATCTTAACGTGAAATTGCTGTAATCATCTAGAAACAGAGGCCAAGCTTTATTCCCAAGTCTATTGAGTGAATAACAAAGATTGTCAAAGAGCTGTAACCGACACCAAATTGTATAAAAGTGATAAAAAATGTAACATACGTAAAAATACAACAACTGAAAATGTTCCTAACTTGCGACAGAAACAGGAGCAATTTGCCCCTATATTTAATGATCAATTCTTGTTGATGGGTAAAAGTTTTATTCTATGTGTGTATTTATCTTTCTCGTTTATAGATACTTCAAGAAAAAAAGAGCTGAAAGAAAAAAGAAATTTTCTCATGTTGATTTGTATATAAACACGTCATATGTCGAAGATGAGTTTAATTATGAAAAATTTGTGAACGATGCAATAGGTGATCATGACAATTACGATGACTTAAATCTCAGAACGAGTCCACCCGGAAGTGCAGCTACTGAAATTGAGCAGTTGGATTTTAACCCGAGAAGATCTAATGTTTACGACAATTTAAAAAAAGACAAAGAGACAAATCCATATGCTAATACAGGCACAGTTCAACAGGACACTAATCCGTATGCTAATAGTGACGTTACAAAGGACAGAAATATTCCACGCTCTAAATATCCAATGATGTCATCGTTTAAAGATGATACAGTATAGATAACAAATTTATGCATTGTAGGATTTATTTTCATAAAAATATGGGTATTTTGTAAAAACTTAATCCGTCGAAATGTATATAGTTCGTATTCAGTCCGTAGTGATTACCATGTATTTCATTATTTTAAGAATAAAAGAAGATGCAATCATTTTGCCAGCAGACTTATATGCGACAACCTCCTACTATATTCTAAGTTGTTGCAAAAGTTGTGTGCTTTTGCGATTGAAAGACCAAATATACAGTAATTTTTTGACGACATATATTGATTTACTGAACATCAACTTGATGAATATACAAGTTTTGGCTTACACCGCTTAGCATATACAATTAAGATGCAGATTTCGAAATAACATGTAATCACAGGACACATTTATCCTTTTTATAATCAGATATAAAATTGAGAATTGAAATGGGGAATGTGTCAAAGACACAAAAACCCGACCAAATAGCAGAAAACAGCCGAAGGCCACCAATGGGTCTTCAACACACCGAGAAAATCCCGCACCCGGAGGCGGGCTTCAGCTGGCCCCTAAATAAAAATGTGTACTAGTTCAATGAAAGTGGACGTCACACTAAACTCCAAAACATATAAATGAACTAAAATTAAAAACATACAAGACTTACACAGGCGCAAAAATGCGGCGGGGTTTAACATGTTTTGTGAGATCTCAACCCTCCCCTATACTCTAGCCAATATTGAATAAACAAACACACAGCAATATGCACAGTAAAACTCAGTTTAAAAGAAGTCCGAGTCCGATGTCAGAATAGGTAACAAAAGAAACTAAGCAAAATGACAATGAAACATAAATTAACAAAGGACTACTAGCAGTTACTGACATGCCAGCTTCAGACCTCAATTAAACTGATTGAAAGATTATGTCTTCATCATATGAAAATCAAGCACAATCTCTCCCGTTAGGGGTTTAGTATCATACTATCATAAAATATATGAGAAGATCATAACCCGTATCATGCCAACAACTGGTTTTATTATAAATGTGTTTATTTCCGATGCAAAGACCCTATGAGTGAATCAATATTAATACCAAAATATGCCATCTTTAATGACCTGACAACAGTTATGTTTATGTTGCAATAAAGTAACGAGAATAAAGGGGAAAAAGTAACCAGCATATGAACTACAAAAGAATTAGAAGCAATTAATTTTAAAAGTTCGGAATATTCCTCATCCCATTCAGGGATATAGGATCGGCGAGGGGGTCTCTTGGGGATCTCGCTGTGTTGAAGACCCATTGGTGGCCTTTGGCTGTTTTTCTGCTCTTTGGTCGGGTTGTTGTCTCTTTGACGCATTCCCCGTTTCCATTCTCAACTTTATTATCATAAGTTCTTATTTACAGAGTTGTCAACAATTTGCTGTAATTTCTCATTTTTTGAACACCTGTATACACACTATGTAGGTAAGTAAGTAAGTAGATGATTTATTATAGTGACATGTGTAGAATAACTAATATTACATATTATCAATACAATAATCCTTTTGAGTTACACCTGATCTTCATATATTTAAAAACTATATGCACATATTTTCAATAAGCAATTGTGAATTTTTTCTTGTAAAGAAGTTCTATCCTTTTGAAGATTTTTTTTAAATATTTGACAGTTTGTCTTTGGTATAATATCATCAAATTAACAAATGTTCTATCATCAATATTATTATCCTCTTGCCGACTTGTTCCTTTATTCATACAGGAACTTCTTAGGAAGAATAAAAGGAAGTAAGCAGTGTCCTTTAACTTCACTTTCCGCTATATATAGATGATGTTATCTCCACGGTGGGTAAGGTTGTCCTGCGAGAGAACGTTCTGTGCTGGTGATTCGGTCCTGACTGGTGCTGGTGGGTCCTGATTCTGTGCTGGTGGGTTTGTTTACACTGTACCAGAACGGCAATAAAACAACCGTTCTGTTGCTAAATTTTTCTCTGTACTTCCTAAGTACCATGCGAGGAATATTACAACGATCTTTTATTGAAAAAGTCGTGCAAATTCGCCAAACAAAATTGTCCTGACGATGTGCTGGTGATTAGAAAAATGGTCCTTGTTCTGTACACCTATGTCCTGGTTCTGTGCCTTTATATTTTAGTTAAAAGTGGCAAATATTCAAGATCATTGATGTAGAAAATTTGTATAATTAATAGAAAATATACATAGCATGTATTTGGTGGATATTTCATATGAGCTAAGTTAAGTCTGTTTTTTTTTTATTTGATTTTTGAGAGGGGGTGCAAAATCTTTCTGTTGAGGTGTTTTGGCCTTTTATAAACTTTTGTTAACTGTTATTTTGAAGATATATGTGCTGTTAACTGTTATTGACTAATTAGCTGTTATCTGTTTTCTTAAAATTGACATTGTTGTGAACTGTTATTATGAAAAAAAAAATACCCCTGTTTACTGGTTTTTGGTTTTTGAATTCACTGTTTTCTCATTTAAGATGATTTAAAATGCTGTTATCGGTTTTCAATATTTTAAATTTACTATTATCTAATTTGAGCAAAATAAAAAAATATTGACCTGTTAATTGAACCCCTCTTGCCCCTTTTGAGATAAGAAAATATGCATACGATTTGCAGGATTACGATCCTTTTGCATGACCATCAAAATACGGTGTGAAATATCCAATACCTATATAAAAAGATTATCTGGTATGTTTGCCAATGGACAAATTTCCATCAGAAACCAAATGCACTAGGTGTAAACAACTATACGTCACCGTACGACCTTCAACAATGACCCAAAAAATCAAAATGTAAAAGGTTTTGCATAAAAATGGAGAGCATAAATATAGAATAAAGGACTTTTTTTCTAATAAAATTGAGAATGGAAGTGGGGAATGTGTCAGAGACAACAACCCGACCAAAGAGCAGAAAACAGCCGACGGACACCAATGGGTCTTCAACACAGCGAGAAAATCCCGCACCCGGAGGCGGGCTTCAGCTGGTCTCTAAATAAAATGTGTACCACTTCAATGGAAATGGACGTCACACTAAACTCCATAGCATATAAATGAACTAAAATTAAAAAAACATACAAGACTAACAAAGGCAAGAGGCTCCTGACTTGGGACAGGCGCAAAAATGCGGCGGGGTTACACATGCTTTGTGAGATCTCAACCCCCCCCCCCCCCCCCTATATACCTCTAGCCAATGTAGAATAAACAAACACACAGCAATACGCACAGTAAAACTCAGTTTAAAAGAAGTCCGAGTCCGTATCAGAATAGGTAACTAAAGAAACTAAGCAAAATGACAATGATACATAAATTAACAAGGGACTACTAACAGTTACTTCCATGCCAGCTCCAGCAGACCTCAATTAAACTGATTGAAAGATTATGTCTTCATCATATGAAAATCAAGCACAACCTAAGTTGATCACGGCAAACTATCAGGTGAGTCTGAACATTTCATAGATGAGTTTAGATAATACATTCAGTGTAGCCTAAGCATCCTGGATATTGTTTCTCTGACAAATTTGTACGATACTGTAGATACTTTTCTTTTGATTCAACCAAATGAATCTCAGCCTTGTTTCTGCGCGTAAGAATCATGTGTCCTCAGCAGCTAAAATCAGATTTCTTTGTAACAATTTAGTGTTTATTAAAAGGATGACAATAATATTGCGTTTTATTTTTAGAATAAGGAAGAGGGAGGTCACGGTGAAAGTTATTAAGCTTGGAATAGTTTTGAAATTCTAAAATTGTTGATAAAAAATAATTTGATGCAGATGATCAAGAACGATTTTATTACTGCAGTTGATAATTTTACCATTAAAACATTTTCCAAGAGGGGAAGGGGGGTTCCCGTAAGATTAAAAAGTTGTACTTTAAAAGAAAAATGTATCTATTAGCTATTAAGCATCATTTGCTGTACCTTTAAGCCTCTGGTCAACATAAAATTATTGTCTGATCGGTTGTCAGGTGGAATTTTCAAAAGTTCAATAAAACATTAAAAAAATATTTAAATATTTCATGGAAGGGCAGACTAGAATTTTTCAGAAAATGAAGAATAGATAACCTAGATAACACACAAAAAAAAAATTTGTTTAAGTTATGCATTTTAAAGATCCAAAAGTAAAGTCTGTTGTCAAGGAATTTTGATAAAGAATTAAGGGGGAGTAAGTGAACGATGTGTCTTAATTTTTCTTTTTACAAATATATTTCCTGAATAAAAATAAAATATGCCTAAATTTTAATTGAAAATGAGTGAAAAATGAGTGAACGAAAAAAAAAAAATACCAGACTAAGAAATACACTTTTAGTTAAATATTTGTAATAGCACGAAGCTTTTAATTTTTATGTTTCAAACACACTTTCTCTGTAGTAATGACTCGTTAAAAAGGTATTTGTAGTATGATACTAAACCCCTAACGGGAAGGATTGTGCCTGATATTCATATGATGAAGACATAATCTTTCAATCAGTTTAATTGAAGTCTGGAGCTGGCATGTCAGTTAACTGCTAGTAGTCTGTTGTTATTTATGTATTATTGTCATTTTGTTTATTTTCTTTGGTTACATCTTCTGACATCAGACTCGGACTTCTCTTGAACTGAATTTTAATGTGCGTATTGTTATGCGTTTACTTTTCTACATTGGCTAGAGGTATAGGGGGAGGGTTGAGATCTCATAAACATGTTTAACCCCGCCGCATTTTTGCGCCTGTCCCAAGTCAGGAGCCTCTAGCCTTTGTTAGTCTTGTATTATTTTTAATTTTAGTTTCTTGTGTACAATTTGGAGTTTAGTATGGCGTTCATTATCACTGAACTAGTATATATATTTGTTTAGGGGCCAGCTGAAGGACGCCTCCGGGTGCGGGAATTTCTCGCTGCATTGAAGACCTGTTGGTGGCCTTCTGCTGTTGTCTGTTCTGTGGTCGGGTTGTTGTCTCTTTGACACATTCCCCATTTCCATTCTCAATTTTATTTCACTTCATCCATTTATTTCATTTTTTGATAAGTACTGTGAATTCTCAGTATTATTATATTAACATGTAGCCTTAATAAAAAGAAAAAATCGAATCTAAAGCCAGATATATCAATCAATATATATTATTTTATACGTTTTCAGGAAAAAACAATCAACGCAAACACGCCTTGAACGTAAAATGTGTACTCGACTGTCACTTTACGATAAGATAAT